CCCCGGCCGCGGCCCGGCAAGCCGGCTCGGCACCTCGAGCCAGAGCGGCCTTGAGCCAGAGGGGCTACGGAAGACTGGTGGGGATACGCGAAGCGTCTAAAATTCCACGCTGGCGGGGAACCGCCCGCATCGAGGAGAGGCCGCGCGCGCGTCGGCGCAGTCGCGGTCGTCGCGGTCGTCGTCGCCGGGCGCGCCCGCTAGCCAGACGCCCCCGTTCGTGGTCTCGGAGCGCTCTGAAGCCTTCGCGGGCGGCAGGTGGCGCGCTGCCCGCGGGCGCCAGGCTCCTAGTCTGTGCGCCAGAACCCAGTCCATGGATCCTGGCCACGCCCAGTGGGCGCGGCGGCCTCGAGGGGGCCACCCTGCGGCACGGACGTCAGACGCTCGCCCGGGCGGCCAGTGGAACGGGCCTGACCATCAGCCCGTATCGAGGAGAGGCCGCGTGCGCGTCGGCGTGGTCGCGGTCGTCGCGGTCGTCGTCGCCGGGCGCGCCCGCTAGCCAGACGACCCCGTTCGTGGTCTCGGAGCGCTCTGAGGCCTTCGCGGGCGGCAGGTGGCGCGCTGCCCGTGCGCGCCAGGCTCCTAGTCTGTGCGCCAGAACTCCGTCCATGGATCCTGGCCACGCCCAGCGGGCACGGCGGCCTCGAGGGGGCCACCCTGCGGCACGGACGTCAGACGCTCGCCCGGGCGGCCAGTGGAACGGGCCTGGCCATCAGCCCGTATCGAGGAGAGGCCGCGTGCGCGTCGGCGCGGTCGCGGTCGTCGCGGTCGTCGTCGCCGGGCGCGCCCGCTAGCCAGACGCCCCCGTTCGTGGTCTCGGAGCGCTCTGAGGCCTTCGCGGGCGGCAGGCGGCGCGCTGCCCGCGCGCGCCAGGTTCCTAGTCTGTGCGCCAGAACCCCGTCCATGGATCCTGGCCACGCCCAGTGGGCGCGGCGGCCTCGAGGGGACCACCCTGCGGCACGGACGTCAGACGCTCGCCCGGGCGGCCAATGGAACGGGCCCGGCCATCACGCGGGCACGGGCCCCCTGAACTCCCCACTGGCTGGCCAGCCCAGCTCGTCAGGGGCAGCACTGGGAAGTCCCCCGCTCCGCATTGGAGCTCGCCAGGCCAAGGCAAAGCCTCGCTGGCACAGGGCAGCGTGGCGCCCAGCGCCGCGACGTTGCCCTGGACGTCTGTCAGCGCCACATCGACAGGGGCTTCCGCGAAGTTCGAGTCGACCTCGAAGTACAGCTCAAAGCTGTTGATGTGGGAGACCTCTCGAGGAGCGGCTGAAATTCGGGTCCGATAGCGAAGTCCTGGTCGAACTCCACGCGGATTCCCCAGACGCGCCCCTCGCAACTGCCGCTGCCCCCCTCCCCCCCCCCGAGCCCAGCACATCGCCCAACGATTCGGCGAGCGCCGCCACGGGCACAGGGAAGGCCTTGGGGACCAGCGCGTCGGAGTAGGTTTTAGCGTCGAGCACCTCCGCCACCCTTGCAGCCTCCTCGCGCTTGAACGACGAGTGCACCATGGTATGCGGCGACGCTGGGTCGCAGTATTCCGACGTCACCGCCATCACGGCGCGGCTCGCCTCGAATTAGTGCATCTGCTTTTGGCGAACGTTGGGGTCTCTCCGATAATCGTGGGAGAGCGCAGCCGAACTGCGCGACGCCAACAGCTGGTCTCTCGATTCCCTTATCCTCAAATGCTTTCTGCCAATGCGAAACCATCTCTGGGTAGGTGCACTCGTGCCCCTCGCGTATAGTAGCAATAATGCCCTGAACGCCGATCGCGGCCCATGCATGAACCATGCCATTACAGAGCGCCGAAGTGGAAAGAGGCTGCCCGAGCGCGCCCTCCCCTCGGTGCTTGTTCAGAGCAGCGCCTGCTTCGAAACCCAAGAGACGAGTGATGTCCCGCCCCAAGCGACCTGCACCAGCCCCACTGGCGCGCCGCTCCTGCGGCCGATCAGCTCCAGGCCGAAGAAGTAGCACAGCGTGCTGAAGTGGGCCATCGCGTCGTCATTCCAGGACCGCCGCCACGGGAAATGCGGCGTGAGGATGTCCGCGGGCTCGGGCCCCTCGTGCTTCTCGACCTGGACGAGCCGCAGGCGGCCGCCACATCCCTCGACCTCCTCGAGCGCCACCGCGGCGCCCGTAGCCAACTGAATATGAACCTCCACACTGCTGGCGCCCAAGCACATGTAGAGCCCGCCGACGAGCACGTTGGCGAGGGCGATGGTATCTGCGATGACCAAGATGTCCGTCAGCTCGGTCGAGACGTCTGCAGGGGGGAGAATCACCTCCCATCGGCTGATGTTGCCGACGAGCTCCGAGCTGTAATTCCGGCCTCCGTAGAGCACGGCCACGGAGCCGCTGCCAGGGTCCGCCTAGCCGAAGAGCCTCACATCCACGCCTGCTGGTAGCACCATGTGAGATGCGAACATGGGCAGAAGACTACTCCTACACTGCGCCCGTCAGACTCAACTGAACTACCTCGCCTTCGTGGCGCACGAGGTGGAGAAGGACGACGAGGGGCACACGTACACGGCGACCGAGCAGTTGAGCCTCACGGACCACGCGACGCACGAGCAGCCGAACTACGACGACCAGGGCGCGACGCCGGGCACCAAGGACATCACGACCCAGAAATAGCAGAGCTACGTACCAGGCGGAGGCGCCGAGCACCGAGGACCACGCGACGCGCGAGAAGCAGCAGAGCTACGACGACCAGGCCACGACGCAGGGCAGCAAGGACACCGCGACCCTGGAGGAGCAGCAGAGCT